GAGATTTCCATTTCTGAGGTGAAAGATTTCCATTTCTCGAGAAGGGAAGAAGAAAGAGGGTCGTTGAATTCTCGGAAGAGTTGATTAAATTCGCAACTTCTCGCGAGCATTTCAGGGCGAATAATGGGCGAGCATCGAAATCTCCGATGATCGATAGGATGGAAGTTGCAACGTTCATCCGTCGAATGGAATGATAAAACGCTTAAGAAATTGGCGGGACCCGGGTATCGGATTGGACTTATTGTTAAAAGCAGCGAGGACGCATTGTTCCAAGTTTTTCGATTAAAACTTCCCCCGGTGTCATTCTCTCGTCCCTTTGTCCTGTAAAATGCTCCGTGGACGGTCATTTATGTTCTTGCCGACTTCGAAGATTAATTGGTTGACGATCGTTCTCGGGGAGAGAGAGACCTTGAAAAAGACAATTCTCGCGTGTGTGCGAAGGCAAAAAAAAAAAAAGTGACCAATTTGAATATTGCCTTTCCTTTCACCAATGAAAGAATTTATACCGGCTATTAAAAGAAAAGAAATCGAGATTTATTGGGAGTCGAGTTAAAAATGGAGACTTTTTAATCATCGTTTTAGCTCGGTTTTACGAAATAATTTTGGAATAAAATGAAATTATTGTACCGTCGATAATTCGATAATTAATATCGCTCGCCATAGAATTTCATTTATCGGAATGATAAATTGTCTCTCTATTCGAAAAATAAGCCAAATATATATGTTTCAATTTATCTGAACCTATTATTATTTGAAAAGTTAAAAATAGATAATAATCGAGAAACTCTTGTTATCATATAAATCTACGCTATTCCCTCCATTCCCTCTTGAAGCGAATTCTACTCCTAAAAAGAAATCTTATCCCTTTGCAATTACCATCTCATTAACGTTAAAAAATTCCCTTCGATCCCCTTCGAAACGCGCCTCCAAACAAAAATGCAAGAAAAGAACTCGCCAAAAATAGGTTTCTCCGTAACGCAATTAATCGGGGAAAAAGCGGACACCGTTTAACTCCTTCTCGTCCTCGATCCCGAATCGAGCAGAAAGGAAAATGAAAACGATCCCCCCGCGCTCGCCATTAGATTTTTATTTAGCGTTGGTCAGGTGCTCGACTTGTATCGAGCGCACGGGGTTTTACCGTTAATTGCGACGACGGAGAAACCGCTGCGGGGCCGCGGTCGTAAAATACGTTTTATCACCCCCTCAAGTGATGGCGGCGCTGCCTCCGCGGGACGCCATTAATACGCAAATTGCGACCACGAAATTTCTCGAGAGGACGCCGACTAATATCGATACCAGACTCGCTTCGCGATTCTATTATTCTCCAATTATTTGGAAAGAATCTGGAATCTGGGAGTAGTATTAGTAGTTATGGTGAAAATGTGAATTTATAGAATTTGAGGGGGGAGGTAATAGAATCGTTTTATTTTTCTCTCCCCATTCGAATCGAAAGAAGGATTGTAAAGGGTTTGTAAAATTTGGTTAAAAAATCTTTTCTTCAAAAATCTTTTCTTCGAATCGGGAAAGAGTTCTCGAGATTAAATGGAATTAAAATAATGACGATATTTAGATTCGTAGGAAATTTGGGGGAAAAAATCCTCTCCTTTTTTCCTTCCCGTCGATATTATTTTCTACTTTTAAAAATTTTACAAAAAAAACTATTTTCTCGATGTTAGAAAGAGGAGGAAGACCCGTGGGCAGAGTTTAAAATATTAATGTTTCACGAGACAGATGTTAGGAATTTAAGAACGTTGCGAGGTAATTGCAGAAATAATTCAGCAGCGGAGGTATATTATTTTTCGCTGGCAACGTCACACTGGATACACGAGAGTACTAATACGGTCCCTTTGTTATTTCGAATATACGAACCCCTTTTTGACCCTGGGTCAACTCTCTTATGATATCTCAATTTCACCCTTCTCGTTGCAAACGGTATACACATCCATGTTCCATGGAAAATGAAACCAATCTCGGTTGATTCATAACGAAGATATTTCGAATTCAATTTTAATTCTCTTCGATAGAGTTAATCATATATCTTACTTCTTCTCGAATCAAGCTTTGAAAAAATAACCTCTGAAAGAGCAGTTATTATTCTCCTTCTCTCTCTCTCTCTCTCTCTCTTAAATTCGCCAACTTTTCCGCGCTATCGATCCGAAAAAACTCGACAAAACTTGTTACAATTTCGAGTTGGAACTCGTTTGAAGCTGACCGATGGAAAAATTTCGACGAAAAATCGCGAGATTGTCAATGGTTTTGGTTGGCAACTCGTGTAACTCGTAACACAAATATTTCTTCCCTGGAAAATATTTGTCGTACGATTATAATATTCTTAGTAATAATATTATATCGGCCGATACTGTATGGAACGGTGTGCGTTTTGCTCGACAGTTTGTTCCATAGCTGCATTTCAGCCTGTTAATTAAAAGGTATTTTAACTCACTGGCTGGCTTTTGTGCCGGCAAAGCGCATGCTCCTTCTATAAATCTGTCAATTAAACGAATGAATTTCGACGATGTTTCGCGATCATGCTTCGAAACTTGGACTGAAAACACCAAGTTATTTTTAATTAAGGGGAAATCCCTCACGATCGATCACGATTAAAAACTCTCTTTTATTCCTTAAACTTGCGAACCATTAAATGTTTACGAGTCAATTACGCGTGTTTACCGTTGCGAGCGTAATTTAAATATATAGTATATTGAATGTTTATTCATCAAATGGGCTATTAATTGAAAAGTTTAGATTAGTATTTCTTCAATTCGATCGTTATACATAAATTTTTGAAATTATTATATTTCGTACATTTTTTTTTTTTTTTTTTAAAGGAAATCATTGCTCATTTGTAATTATCTTTTATTTGCAATTTATTTATCGATAAAATTTATTTTTTAAAAATTATTGGAATATTTTTGTAGAAAGTTGTTAAAATTATACATAAAATTAAATAAACGGGTAGCGAACATACAGTTTTATCGATCTTGCAAAACTGAGAGAAAAAAGAAAGAATATGTAAAAAACGGTTCAGCAAATGACATTGTACGAAATGAGTCTCTGATGGTACATATAAGGTATTCGACAAATTTCAGCCAATCGGATGATATTGCGAGTCGAAATGCATGCGAATCGTGTTTTTACGATCGTCTCACTTGTTCCACGAGTTTCATCTAGAATTTTATTATTACGCCGAAGAACTGGTCAAAGAAGTGGCGCGAAGAACGTGGTCGTAAGAATGGGAGAGGGAGGGAAAGGAAAAAAGGGTACAAAAAAAAAATATGGATGGATTTCAAGGATTTAGTAATCGTTTTAAATTGAAACTACCTTGTATTTTATTTGAAAAAAGGGATCTCTTTTTACGCTCTCTCAAATTCTTTTGTTCCTTTGCGGAGAGCAAATCGAAAATTAAATTGGAAATTTTTTTATCTTCTCGATTCGAGAAAAGGATTTTTAAAAATATTCAGAATTATATTGCACGGTTTAACACTTCTCGAATATTTGCAATAGCAATTTAATGATTTCAATATCTGTAATTTAATTTTTCTTTCTTCTTTGAAATTCTCGATTCTTGTATATGTAAACAAAAACTAAAATTTCGAAATTTAAATTATAGAAGAAATATCAGATTTTAAGAATTAAAAATATATAGTATAACCAAATACAAATATGTGGTAAAGTGATCGAGAATTTGTCTACGGATATGCTGTTCGCCTTAGAAAAAAAAAAAAAAAAAGAACCACGAAAGTAAAGCTGCGAAGTCACGTTCTGGAATCAAATATCAAGAAAAAAGGAGGAGAACTTGCCTTCACGAGAAGAGCGAGAAGTCTGTTTTCGATTTCTATCGCGAGAAGGGGAAGTTTACGAAACTGCTCCTCCAACAATTCCGAATGCAACCAAACGAACGCCCCTGCAGATTCTTTATCGTTAGCATTTTAATTGCGTTGAAAAATATTCCTTCTCCTTTTCCGCTCCGTGTTAATTGCCTGATTTTTGTTCCCTGTCAAGATGAGATAAGAATTTCTAAAATTTCATCTCGCTCGATATTCCAATGAAAATTCGTAATTTTTAGCAACGTAAACTACTACAGAATTCCAATTTTGCTTTATTTTATTTTATTTTATTTTATTGCATTTCAAATTTATAATTTTATTATACAAATACATAATTCTATTATTTCATTTGATGAAATGATTCTGATTTTGATTGCGCAATATATTATTTTTAAATCTTATTATTAATATATAAAAAGATCATTTTATTACTGGATTTATTTATATTTATTAATATTTTTTCTCGTATTTCCCGCTATTATACAATTAAATTTAGCAATATGAATGTGAAATATGAAAACGCATAAAATTAAAATTAATTAATTTCACTCGCGATATTCAACCAGAAGAAGTAATTAAAATATTTGTATTTTAATTAAAATTAAATTTGATATATATATTCGATAAATATAAAAAGAAACTATTTTTTTCAAATGCTATCAAAACATCGTAATTCTTTAATATAATTATATATTCATTCCCAAATTACACCGAATACTTGATGAAATGTATTATTATTCCCTCAGAGTATAATAATATCATCATGTTACTCGCGTAATCTCGTTTGAATTATTGCTCGTTTAATTCGAAATATAATACCTCTAATTCCATTGCAATTATTATTGGTTAATCATAATCAAAATTGTAATGCGATCAAAAGTACTTGTTCATAACGAATCGTCATCGTAAAACATTAAAAAAAAAAAAAATTAAAATCGTGAATTTAACACCGAATAATAATCGAGTCCGAATAAAAATAGCAAAATATTATGTTAAATGGCTTAGGAACACGGTCGATGCATCTTTCTATCAACGTGGGAGCGTGAAAGACGCGAGAAAGCTTGTGCTTACTTACGATACACGGTCGAGTCCACTTAGTGGAACGAAGATGAAAAGGAAAAAAACGAAAGAGAGATCGAATATCTCTCGGCTCGAATGCACGAGTGGAAGAGAAACGAAAAAATAACGAAGGAGAGATCGAAGATCTTCCAAGGTATACACGCGACGTATACGACAAGGACAAAAGTATATTAAAGTTGGAAAGAGAGAGGAACGAACAGAGAACGAAACGGTAGAGATAAACCGAGGAGAAAGAGAAAGAGAGAGAGAGAGAGAGAGAGGGGCATGCACGCCGGTGCAACAAAGACGGAGACAAGAGATCGTACTCGATGCTCGTCGGGTGAAGTTAGTTAGCAGTCGATGCGCACACGCCACGCGCTCCGGACGTACGTCGTTTCGTACCTCTCTCCGGTGTCCTGTCGCGTTGTCCGTTCGTTCCTCTCTCGGTTTGTCAACGTGTCCGGTTCGAGGTAGGGAAATCCGTGACGCTTCCGCTCGAAAGTGAGTCTCTTTCACAACGATCGACGAACGATAGAAACTCGGTCGACCGAACACCATCTCCATAATTCTTTCTCGAAGGGGCCGCGTGTGACCGGTTTCGAGTTTCATATGAAAACCGATCTTGCCAGTGCTACTATATTGGAATTCGCGATGTTCGTGATATTTTTGTGACACTGATTGTGACTCTGAAATTCGCGTGTATGACAAGTGTTCTCGAGATTCAGTTAATTACGACGTTACCTTAACGGAAAGCTTCGATGGCTCCTTATCGACTAGAACGTTCATTCCTTATTGGTGTTTGAACGAAACGTAAACACAAGTGGAGAGACTCGTCGAGATTGTTGTTCTCTAAGAAACGTACGGGACTCTAAGAAACATTCCTGAAATTCTGAATCAGGTAAAGCAAAATATTTATGTTCTTTAGCCTATCGAGGCTCGACATCGCATAAATTTTACGTATAATGTTTTCCGGTCGGTATACATTATCGTTTCTTTCCTTCTTTCAAACACTGTCTCTTTTGTTTAGATTTTTTATACAATTTCATAAAATTTTAAATTTTATCACGCTACGGTGAGCTATATTCTTTTTATATACTTTAAATAGGAAGTAATTAAACGTAAATAATGTTTGATTTCTAACTCGGAGATTAAGAATAATCGTGTCACGAATCGTATCGAATGGAAATCAGGCGATAATATTCATAGAACTATTCCGGCGGTCAATTCAAAATACCGTTACGAAACGATCGGTAAAAATACTCCCTGTTAACGATATATACGGGATTGAACCGGTGAAATATGCATTCGGGCCGATCGTGGCGCTTCACGCTTAATTTCTTCTCTCGATATTTTTCGGACGGCATTTGAATTTTAAAGTCGCGCACGACGTAACGGGTGGATCAATCATGGCTGCACGGTGGCAATGACAGGATGGCGTTTATTAATAACTTCGTGACAGAAGTGACGCGCCCGTTCGAACAAACCTTCGTGCCTTCGTGTTTTTGTCGCGTAACAATAAATCATGGCGTCCCGTTGTCGATGACTCGAACCTAATGAAACTTTTCCGTTTTCATATATTATATAGATGCATTGTCGTTGTACTGAACCGGCGCCTGTGACTCACTTCACGGGCGTGTACCGTGCTTTTTTGCGGTTGAAACGACGAGACACGAGATCGTAGGAAGGAATATCGTTACATCCGCATTCTGCCTCCGAGACGTCTGGATATAATATTTACGTATACAAAAAAAGGATCAAATGAATATGTAAAAAAAAGGATCGAACGTTTTGAATTGAAATTTTTTTAACAACGTAATTTTCGATACAAGTTTTACGAATTGTATGCGTATGTCATTAGAGAGGAAAATTTTTTCACGTCATATTGAAAATCGAAATGTTTTAAAAAATGAAGGAATATAAATTCGATAGTTATTAATTTAATTGATTGATTTTTGCTAATTAGATGTAATTTTATATTTTTTTTTTTCTTATATTTAAATAATCAATTTTGTAAAACATTCGATTCTGTGATATATATAATATTAAAATATTTCAAGAAGATTTGAAATGATCGAATAAACTCGTTTGAACTTTAGCTTCGATTCTGTAACTCAATATCGTGAAAGTTCTATTCCCTAAATGAAAATACTTTCTTATCAAGCGCTTTAGGCTGTGAAAGTCCTAAGTCTATATCTGATAGTCGATGATCTTAAACATTTCTTTCCAAGTATGCTTTATTAAATCTCGTGTAAGCATTGAACGTGTCTTGTAGATCCTCGAGTAGGATTCGGATAGTGTTTACTTCAAGATAAAAACGAGAAACTGTATCTACGAACAACAAAATATATTTATTATTGATTATTACATAAATATTTTCTGAAAATTAATATTTATCGTTTTAGTTGCTATATAAGAATGAAGAAGATTCAATTAATCTTTTTCAGCATTTAAATTCACGATAATTACCCAGATCGTTTTGCCATCACTTTTTTTGTCAGTTAATCCTAAATTATGAAAGTAGAAAAGTAATCTCTTGATAAAACTTGAAATTGGCATTGGACGCGATACTAAGAAAATTACAAAAAGTGGGTCAAGAAAAATCTGAGAATTGGAATTTCTCGGATGAACTCGAGTACAAGAGTCGCGAGGAGGTTAAAAATAATTCGAAGTAAATCCTGAGGAAACAGATGAGATACGATCTAAAATTTCGAATCAATGGTATTTCTGTTCATTTGGTTCGTAATCGGCCAAGAATGTCTGGAACATATCGATATTCGTTAAGCTCGAAATTTATCGCAGACATCGCATTAATACAATAAAACATACCGTAGAAGGAATTCAAAGATGAGATCATAGCAAGTGCACGAAAGTAGGCGGTCGGACGATTCAATAAACAGCAGGACGAAGGTCGGGCTTAAGTCATCAACTGTGTTAACACTTTTATTTTCGACTCGCACATTCTGGCTAATACGAAAGGATTTCAAATTCCGATCTCTCCACTTTTAAAAATATTCAATTCGGATAATAGTCTGAGCTACCTCAATATTCTTTTTTTCTTTTTCAGTTAACCCATCAATTAGTAGAATTTGGTCGAGTTTTTTTCATCCACAATTTTTCTACGTTCTTTTACAGATTTTTATTAGACTTTTATTCTTTCTAACGATACGTTATAAATGTTTAAATTCACGCCTCGTTTCACACGAATCAATCTTCGTGCAAAGATCCATTATCAGTGTTCCAAATAAATGCTATTCTTACAAATTCTTTATTTACACAACATTACAACATTTTATCACCGTTGAATAAATACAATGCTACATTATTTTCCGAATGTTTCAATTTCAAATTCTGAAACGCGATCTTCTTCTTCTTTCCACGACAAAAAAAAAAGGAAAAGAAAAATCTTTCCCACTGCTCATGCAACCAGCTCAGGAAAGTTAAATATAAAATATTCCTCGATATTTATGTCGCAGAACGAATATCCAGAAGAAAGATTCTTCGAATATCTTTCTTACAAATGCTATAAAAAAAAAAAAAAAAACAAGTAACCGAACTCTCTCTCTCTCTCTCTCTATAC